ACACAGGTACATGAAAAATTCTTATTTGCATGGTACTACCATGATGCTATACTCACAAATCCTTAGCAATACCATGATACATGTACAAGAACATTACATTTTAGTGGTTTTAAAGGGATAGTACATATAGCATATAGTAAAAATAAAAAAAAGTCAGAAACGGTGCTCAGCATTCACGGTTTGTTTCGAGATTTAAAAAATTGACTTTGGACTCTGCTGGACTGAGGAAGATTCAGTCTCATCCATTGTTAGTGACATGCTAGTAACTTGCTATTTATGCTAGAAACATGTTAATCATGCTAGCAACATGCTAGTAGCATGCTAGTCATGTTAGCAATGTGTTAATAACATGCTAATCATGTTAGAAACATGGTATTGACATGCTAGTAACTTGTTAATCATCCAAGTAACATGCTAGTTACTTGCTAATCATGCTAGTAGCATGCTAGAAACATGCTAGCGACAGGCTAGTAACATGCTAATAATGCTAGAAAAATGCTAACGACATACTAGTAATTTGCTAATCATGCTAGAAACATGGTAGTTACTTGCTAATAATGCTAGCAAAATGCTAGTAAAATGTTAATCATGCTAGAAACATGTTAGTCACTTGTTAATCATGTTAGCAACATGTTAGTAGCATGCTAATCATGCTAGCAACATGGTAGTAACATGTTAATCAGGCTAGAGACATGCTAATAACTGGCTAATCATGCTATCGACATGCTAGTCACTTGCTAATAATGCTACCAACATGCTAGTTACTTGCTAATCATGTTAACAACATGTTAGTTACTTGTTAATAATGCTAGCATAATGCTAGTAGCATGCTAATCATGCTAGCAAAATGCTAGTTATTTGCTAATCATGCTATCAACATGCCAGTTATTTGCTAATCATGGTAGAAACATGCTAATTATGCCAACAAATTGCCAGTAACAGGCCAATCATGTTAAAACATGCTAATCATGCTAGAAACATGTTATCAACATCTATCTAATCCAGGGTGCTCAAACTCGGTCCTGGAGGGCCGGTGTCCTGCAGAGTTTAGCTCCAACTTGCCTCAACACACCTGCCTTTAAGTTTCTAGTATGCCGTAAGAGCTTGATTGGCTGGTTCAGGTGTGTTTAATTGGGGTTGGAGCTAAACTCTTCAGGACACCAGCCCTCCAGGACCGAGTTTGGACACCCCAGTTCTAATCAATCGAAATGTTCAAACTTCAGGCTTTTACAACTGCTTTAAACTTTCAGGCTTGGCTTTCTCAAGCCAACCTAAAGTTTGTCTTGAATATGATGCGATTAAAAATTTTATTTTCTCTTTGGAGTGTTACAAGCTCTTGGTGCATAAAGTTGCAAATGTAAAGTCTCAAATCCAAAGAGATATTCTTTATAAAAGTTAAGAGTCAACCACGCCTACCTAAAACGGCTCGTTTAAACATGCCCCTACATGTCTACGTCACTGTGTAGGAAGATTTGCATAACACCGCCCTAATGTTCACGCAAAGAAAGAAGGTATAACTTTTATTCTCGCTGTAGTTTTGTTGTTGCCGCCGGCGCCATGTTGTGGAGATGCTGTGTGTTTCAGTTGTGAAAGCGAAACTACTTTGTTTGGCCTTCCAAAAGAGGACGATATCTGCTTCATCATGCCTAGAGCAGATATCAACTTTGCGCTGTGGATCGCCAGATCTGAACCTGCAGAGTAGCATACAAATGGGTCTGTGCTCAAAGGCTGTTCTATAAAGTGGGGCAGTTCCAACTTTGCAAGGACAGTCTGGCGCTTCTGACTCACGGCCTGTAAGTAAATTTTTTATATTTAAAGAATTTGCCACTGATGATTCAAATGCGAGTTTTGATCAGTGTAGAGTAGCGCTCGTTGTTTGTCGTTTCTCCGATCACAAATGCAGACATGGTTTTATGTTTACGCGGCGCGATACGCAACGCGTAAAAACACAGTATAAGTCATTATAATCCATAATTATGTCCCCACTGGATGCAACGAATGCCTCGTTTATAATGGGTTTTATTGGTTTTGTCTTGCTGTGCCAGGAGAAGGCATCACAGACAGTGTGTTAAGGGGCGTAACATTTCTGTCACACGCTTGAGGTATTCAGCCAATCACAATGCACTGGATAGCTGGCCAATCAGCGCACACCTCGCTTTTCAGACCGATGAGCTTTGTAAAAATCGACGTTTTTCAGAAAAGCGGGGCTTAGAGGAGAAACAATAATGTACATTATGTGGAAAATAATGTGTTTCTTTTACCTTAAACCGCATAAACACATTGCATTACACCAAATACACAGCATAATGTTCTTTTTAGCAACGTCATATGACCCCTTGAATATTACCCATTTTCAGCGCTTGAAAACCAACAGGTTTTTTTTGGTCACTTTGTATACAGCTGATACTTATTAGGTAACAAGGTAACAACATGCTATACATGTATGTGTGTATACAACATGCCAGAATTATGCTAGTAACATGCTAATCATGCTAGGAACATTATTAGCAACAATTTAGCTACATGCTATCAACATGCTAACTTCATGCTAATTATGCTAGTTACATGCTAATCATGCTAGAAACATTATTAGCAACAATTTAGCTACATGCTAATCATGTTAGCAACATGCTAATCATAGAAAAATGATTAGCAACATGCTAACTGAATGCTAATCAAGCTAGCAACATGCTAATTTTCTAATTTATCTACATTTTCAAATATGAAGCTTTTACAGCTGCTTTAAACTTTCAGGCTTGGCTTTTTTAAGCCGACCTAAAGTATTTCTTGATGAACCTTTTTTTTTATCTAGTTTGATCTGTAGTATTAGCAACTACCAACGTTCAGTTTATTGGAGAATGCATTGTCTAGCCACCCATTCAACTTCAGCCTTCCACCTTTATCAACAGAGCTGTGCACAGGGGGGGGGCAGTGTCTTCACAAAAAAGAAGACTGCTAAAAGGCCGTTCAACATTGCAAACATGAATTTAACGCTCCAGCAAGCCAGCAGGTCAATGTGCCCATGGACCACAAAACCAGTCGTAAGGGTCAATTTTTTTGAAATTCCATTTATGTATGTTTTTTTAGGATAGGACAATATTTGGCCGAGATACACCTATTTGAAATCTGAGGGTGCATTTAAAGTTGTCCAAATGCATATTACTAATCAAAAATAAAGTCATGGAACATGACCTTTACATCATATCCTAATGATCTTTGGCATTCAAGAAAAAACATGGATACAATGTTTTATTGGCTATTGTTACAAATATACCTATGCTACTTTTGACTGATTTCGTGGTCCAGGGTCACATATAGAATATTTAGCAGTTTGTCACACTTTAATTCTTGTAATTAAGTAAATTTCACATTATAATCACTTGTCTTAGTTGATACCATCATATTTATAGGCTAATATTTCATTAAAACCATATTAATAGTAGGCCTATAAATAGTTAAAAATGTATGCATGTTCAAAATGAGTTGTTTATATAATATAGATTTATGCTCCCGAACATAGCAAAAGTGTCCCTCGTGGGTCAAAATGACCCGAAGGCCAAAAATGAAAAAATAAATTTTGGTCCAGAAAGCTTATATTGGTCCATTTTTATATATTTTTTTCCTAATTTATTTTATTATTTTTGGTGATTTTTATTTTATTCACATAAAATTCTGGATATTTTTATGAAAAGGAGCATATTTTTGTAATTTTTTTCACCAAAAAAAAACAAAGAAAGACACAATTTCTGCATATTTATACTTTAAACATGATGGTGTCTCTGATGTCATCTGGTGGGGAAAAAGGACATCAAATTGTGTTTTATGATTACAGCCACTAGAGGAGGTCCCACAGAATCCTAGGTGAACATGATTTCAAGTACAGCATGTTCCTGGATCAACATCCTTGTTGATCCTGGAACAACATTCCAATCAACCAATCAGAATTGAGGGATACGTTTTCAAGAAATGTCAGTTTTAGGCTTACAATCAGGGTTGGATGCTTCAACACCCTTGTTATTCACCTATCATTTCCCTCTGATTTTAGGAATAAATTATGGGTAAGGTTAGGTTTAGGGGAAGGGATTGGGTTAGGTCTATATTTTTGGACAGTAATGTTGATCCAGGAACATGTCTTACTTGGCAAAATCACGGCGACAAGAATCCTATGGAGCCACCATGTGTGTGCTTGTGTGCCTGTGTGTGTGGGTATGCAAGTTTTTTGTGCATTGGGGACATTCTGCAGACTCAGCCCTTCGTTTGGGTATGCATCTTTTCTGGATTGTGTCAGATTTTTGTATAGTAAAAAAAAATCAAATTAAAAAAAAAGTTTTTTTTTTTTCAGACATACCATTAATTCCTATGGCTGGGTCAAAATGACCAGCAAGGGACACTTTTGTAATTTTTTTTATTACACCCACATAGAATCCTCGAATCGACTCAAATTTTGTGTGTGTGTGCTCCATGCTCAAGTGTGACTAAATTAAATTTGAAAAAATCCACAGTTTTTTTCGTTAATTCCATGCTTTTCCAGTGGCGGGTCAAAATGACCCGCGAGGGACATTTTTGTTACTTTTTATATAACACCCACTTAAACCGCTCGAATTCACTTGAATTTTTTTTCATGTATTCCCGGTTAGTGTGACAAGAGTGACAAAAGTCACAAAGTCTCATACCATAACGATCAACGCTCGCTTTAAAAAAAAAAAAAATCTTTAAAAATGAGTTTTTGGTCAAAATGACCCAAAGGACGGATGAGGGTTAAATGACTAATATTTATACTTCCACTGAAGATGAGGAAGAAGCAGGCTCAGAGAGTGAGGAAGAGCCCACTGAGCATCAGCTAAATCAGACAGGTACAGGTAAGACTGGCTGACAACAAAGGAATATGCTTGAGTGTGATAAAAAAGTAAGATGGACATTAAATTATTTGAATGAACGAGTAATTACATTACAACAACATAAATTGAATTAGCACTAAGCCTAACACTTGTATTTATCAAATGACGAGCTAAGTCATTGAGCTCTCGATGTGAAGCTCTGTGGAATATACAGCAGATCAGTTCTGTCATAACAGGTGAGTTCTGAGACAGCAGTAACATCGTTCATTCCACAGTTTCCAGAAGATAACGGCCTCTTTCAGGCCTCTGTAGAGCTCTTGAGCTGCACCATCTCAGCTTCTTCTTGAGGTTTGGAAAGGGGAGCTCCACGTTTGCGATGGAAAACAGCTGCTATCTCCTCAAAAGTCTTCCCTTTTGTTTCAGGTACACGCAAGTAGATAAAAACAGTGAAACCGAATAGGAGTACTGCAAAAACGATGAAGACATAGCTCCCACAAAGACCCTAAGGACCAAAGAAGAGTCATAAGACCTTATGTAGGTGATGGCATGTAAAGATACTGCACAATATTAAAAGTCCAGGGAACTCAATGTACCTCTAAATAAGGGAAAAACATGCCAATGATGAAATTACATGTCCAGTTGCAACACCCAGCTAATGCGATGGCTGCTGGCCGCGGCCCCTGACTGAAGATCTCCGCCACAATGAACCATGGGATTGGTCCAGGCCCGATCTCAAAGAACGACACGAATAGGAATATGGCTGCCATACTGAGGTAGCTCATCCACGAGTAAACGTCCTGAGAAACAGAATAAACGGTGAGACATTAAACAACCACAGACCTACTCGAGATTTCTTCATTACTGTTAATTTTGTGTTGTCATATATATATATAAAGAAATGCAGATCATACCTGAAAAGCCAGGCCCACTGTCATGGCCACAGCACAGCAGCACATTCCTCCCAATCCAACAATAGTGAGAGTCCGTCTGCCCGCTCTGTCCACCAAGATCACCTGTAAAAAACACATGAATGAACAGGACTGTTCAAGAATTATCTACAGTTGCCAGTATGCTGAAAGATGTTTTGAAGGTGGAATTGAATAAATTTTTTTAAATACACTGACATCTAGTGGCCTTGAACTGCTAAACACACTATTTAAATTGGGACACAGTTTTACCATTGAAATCACTTGGGAAAAATGTCCCAATTAACATGAATTCACTATAAATATAGAAATATTTAGTTGAACAATTTTATTATTATTAATGCTTTTTCTAACAGTTTGGTGGACATTTGTATATTCATCCATATATGTATTGTATTCCATTTTTTAATTGAAAATTATGAATAACTATTTTATTATTATTATTATATTGTGTATTTTATTTTATTTATTTTTTTAGCATTGTCATGTCACCCCCCCGACTTTTGGGTTGCCCCATCACAAAAATCCCAATTCAGCTCCTGGTTACCAAAATAAAATGAACAGTATCTGGCTGCTTAAGTGATCACAATACCTTTGTGTGGTGGCTTTCAATGTATTTTTATTAAGCTGTTTTAACCTGTCTGCAGTCTTCATCTCACGTGAGTTCACATTTAAACCATATTTTTCTCAATTACTTCTTTTTAAGTTTATCGAATTATTCATTTCTTTAAAGCTAAATTATACTTGAGTAAAAATCAGAAAATGACTTTGCTCTTAGGCTAGCCTAAAGAATTGCGCTTTCATGCATCAGATTAATCAAAACTTGTTCTGAATGGATTATTTGATTTAGAGTAGCTCTTGACTCATTACTCAAAACTGTTTTCTATTGCAGGCTGCCCTTGAACTAGCAGACATAAACACTGCAAAGTCCCTGATAACATATGGCTGCTCTCCAGCTCTGTGAAGCTTCAGCCACCTCTCCAGATCTATGTAGCAGTAATTATAACTTAATTTGTTCGCAAGATTCAAGGTGAGATGTCTCACTGGGTCATATATGTTAAATATGGGCATGATTGATAATGTCAGCACAAGTTTGTATAAATCTAACCTAAATAAGTGACACATTTTGATCACAGTGCTAATGAAAGCTGCTCTGCCTTAGCTGCAATCTGTTGTCTAAAGAAACATGCTCTCAAATGAGTTGGAATATCTACAATATCAGTCTTGAAATATTGTCAAAAAGCATTAAGGGAAAGTAAACCCCGAGAGGCAACAGAACTCTGCGGTTTCTAAGAGACGAGAGCCTGTTCCTCAGCAGCCAGTGTTTGCCTTTAAATTAGTGTCTGTTTACCGACACAAGGGTGAAAATGATGTTTATAACTCCCACTCCAATAGTGGCATACACCGGCTGACCGACCCCCGCAGACTGGAAGATCGAAGTAGAGTAATAAAAGATCTAGAAAAAAACAACAAAGAAAAGATCAAATATATTATGATGTTGTCTAATAGTAATGGGGTCCATAAAATGTCAATCGAAATGTTTTTTTCAATATAATGGGAGCATAAAGGCAGATTGAGCGTACAGCGTTGATCCCAGAGAACTGCTGGGATAAATGCATCATCAGGGCCACAAACAGCTGCTGGCGGTACACAGAGGAACGGAGCAGCCGCAGGATGGACGTTTGCGCCTCCTTCATGGCCTTCTCTTTCTCTGCCTGCATCTCTGCTATGTCCTTTGAGGTGTCGTAATCTCCCTTCAGCCTTTTCAGACCTACCAGAAAGAAGAACTGGGAATCATTATTTTGTTGAGGAAATTCAGAATGTTCATCAACTAAACAAAGTTTTCAAAATTGCTCTAGTCTAAGAGACTAGAGTGATTTTTAGAACATTCTGAATTTCAACCACAACTATAACAGTGATGACAAAGAGGAACCATATTCTTATAATCACTTTAAGAAATTTTTTTTCCCCTTTGGGTGAATTCTAAAAACATTGACAGGCAATCAAAATACTTTCAACTTTAAAGTCCGTTGGTGTGAACGCTAATATCGTTATAGTTTTTGTTCTTGGCTAATTCATACAACCTCACTCATACGAATTTGTATGGTTTGTGAAAAATTGTACGTATTTTACGAGGTGGCAAATTTGTAGGAATTCATCACGAATAAGCCAACCCCTCAGTGAAATCAGACAAAATCGTAAAAGTGAGGTCGTACAAATACGCACCTTGTAAAATACATACAAATTCGTCATGAGAGAGAGAAAAAAGAGAATAAGGTCCTAATGTTTAAAAAAAAATGGTCAATGTTACAGAAATAAAGTTGTTATTTTAGAATAAAGTTGTAGTGTTACAAAAATACATTTATAATGTTACCAAAATAATGTCAATGTTGCAAGAATAAAATTGTGAAGTTACAAAAATAAGGTTAATGTAAACACAAATTACAAAAAATTAAGTCACATTGTTTTGTAAATTAAGTCAATGTTATGAGAATAAAGTCATAATGTTACAAGAACAAAGGCATAAAGTTTGTAATGTTTCAAGTCTAATATCTTCAATTTAAGAGATAAAAAAAACTAATATAGCCTTATAGGATTTTGAGGGTAAAATAAATAGTAATTAGCTTCATCGATGCAGAAAATGTATGTGGAGTATTTAGATTGGCTAGCATGTGTTAGTATTTACTAACAAAGAAATTCTTTTGGCAAATCATCTCAGAGTTATCATTAGAATCCAGCAGTGAACCTGAAGGAAATTGAATTTATTAAGGAGAAAGAACCAGACGGACATTCAGGAAATTGCTTGTTTTGTGCAATCTGTAATGACAGCCAGCTCCATTTCACTTTGATGCTACTTTCCTTATTATCATACTGACTTGAATCGCACAAAATGTTATTGTAGTTTTGACTTTATTCTTAAAATATTAGTACTTAAGTGTCATAATGTTGTGACTTTATTCTCATAAACGGCCTATTATCAATGCATGTTGTCCAAGAGTAGTGAGTGAGAAGGCTTTGGGCACATACTCTTGCATGCTTCTTCCACTTTGCCTTGTTTGATGTAGAGGAATCGAGGACTTTCTGGACATACAAGCAGCAGCAGACTCTGCAGGATGGCAGGAGCTCCAGAAAGACCCAGCAACACGTGCCACATGTCATCATTTCCCAGCAGGAAATCCAGACCGATGACCTGCAGATAACAAGGACACCTGCACACATCTTACAGGTTCTAATAAGAACTGAAAAAGAGTTACTAAAAAGAATCAAACAATTTGAAAGAACAGTAAATGCTTCATTTTTTTTTAAACTGATAAAGAGAGTAGTGGCTTAGACCTCATTAGCATCTTACTTAAAATACATCACTATTTTTTCAATTCAATAAAATTTTTTTTTTTTTTTAAATATTAATCCCAGAGGGAAATTGCTTTCCATGTTACAATTGCTCTCAAGAAAGAAAGAAAGAAAAAAGATAATAAAATGAATAAATATATACCTATATATCAATCAAATTAAAAATGAATAAGTAAAACATACAAATAATTATATAAAACCATACCAGTAAAAATGGTAGTTTAGATCAAATATGAAACTAAAGTGGAATGAAATGACAAATGTGGAATATAATAAGTCCAGTATGGTAATGGTAATTAAGTACAGTAGTTATATAGTATGTATTGCACACTAATCTTAGTATTAATAAATAGGCAGTAATAATAATAATAATAAATTGCATTGCACAAGAAAAGTCCCTTATTGCATATGAAATGAACATGTATTGCACATGCATTACTCAAAAATATCCCAGCACTTATAGAGAGGAGTTGTACAGCCTGATGGCCTGATTTTTTATCACAGTTGCTTCAGCTGATTGTAAAACAGATTTTCCATGGACTATCATGTATGGTCATGTTCTTTTATTAAATAAAATTAAATATTCAGTTAAAGGGATAGTTCACCCAAAAATGAAAATTCTGTCATTACTCATCCTCATGTCACTTCAAACCCGTAAGCAGGCCCGTAACCAGCTATAAGGCCACCGAGGTGGTACATTTTTCATGTTTAAAAATAAAATGTTCTTTGAATGACTCATTTGCTGTTAAACTCCTCATATGAATGCTTGCATGGCATTAATTCAGTTTAGACCGTTTGCAAGAATGTTTAGCGTCCCGGTTATGAAAATGATCGCTGCGAGACACTGGCGGAGTGAACGAGGCTTGAGAGTGAGGGCGCGGGCGCAGCCATTATAAGCGTTTTAGGACTTGTCTTTTTCACTTAATTTAACACTTTAGAAAGTTAATAAAGTAGGATGTTTAGAATCAGCGATATCTTTATCTTATCTGCAAAAGATTGGAATTAATTTCGGTTTATTTTTATTTATTTTTACTATTGTTTGTTTTAGTATCAATATCTGGCAACACTGCATCGTCGGCACTTAAACGGAATGCAACAACAACAAAAAAGCATATGGACAGGTTTTTGCTGACAGGATATGACATTCGGTAAAGGAAAAGCGAAAATTATCATGATATTATCCGTCATAAACGTTAGCGGTCAAAAACAGTAGCATTTAACACTAGTGCACTCAGATCTGTAGAACAAGTAGGTTACAGAATGAAATGAAATACGCAAAAACTAGCCACGAAGAAGTGTATGCCATGTCATTCAGTATAGTTAAATTTTCACAAATTATGCTGTAAACTTTCATAAGAGCCCTAGACAAAGTTATTGTAGTTATGTATTGTTTCAATAAACAACTGATAAAATTATCCACCCTTAAATATAGTAAAGTATTAACAAATTTTCGGCACCAGGCCAGACGACAGACCTACAACACGTGTGATATATGAACCAGTGCGCAGACAAAACATATTGCAAAAGCATACACAAAATATATAACAGTGCAATGTAATAAAACTAATTTAAGTAAATTACTTGCATACTAATATATATATATATATATATATTCATTCATTACGTCTGTAGCGGACGAAAAGTAATTGTCTTTATGAGTGAACCATGAATCATTCACTCAACCGATTTGTTTCAAATAATGATTCCTTTAGGAATGAAGCAAATGGCTGCCTTTATGAGTGAGTCACTGAATAATTCCCTCAACTGATTCGGTAAGGAAACACTGCTTCTGAATGCTGCTCGGAGACGCAGCGGCTTCTACTTTCGTTGTAGTCATGAGAAAATGGGATCATTTTACTTGATCTTTGAACCTCGTTTGGCACAATGAACTACTATTATTTGAGTCAATTTCAATTTTGTTCAGTTTGAGCTTAAATTAGTTGAATTAAAATGTTATATATTTTCAAAATCCCTGAACATGTCTACATGTGAACATGTGAATTGGGAAAACATGCAAAGACAAACGATGAGAAACAGAAATTGTGAGTTCCTAATGTGTCTTCAGGTTCAAATCTTTCATTCCTTTGGTTACTTGACAGACACAAATTAATGAATTGTTCATGAACATTATTCCATTTGTGGAGCAAAAAAATAACTGGCAATGTTGTATCTAAAATGCGAGTTATTTATTAATTATTTATCACTTTCTGAGATGCTGCTTTTGAATTTTTACATTACTAGAGTAAGGTTATTAGTATTATGAAATGTATTTTATTTTATTTTTTTTAAATAAAAGCCTTGCCTTTCTCTCAAGATTTCATGAAAATAGAGGCATGGTTCTGTCTTACCACAGTACAGTCCCATGATAGCACGTCCTGCTATCACCATGAGGTAAGGTGTGCCCAACTTAGACAGACCCATTAACAGCCCAGCTGTTATAGCCAGGACATTTATATACAGCATACCTTTGATCCTGTAAATACATTTTATACAGACAGGACCAAAAATATGAGTCACATTCCACTGAATCGGACCATATAAAACTTTATTCTTTCAAGATAAAGCAAGTTAAAACTATTTCTTGCAATTAACATCCTTATGCGGTTTCCTTTTTATCTCCTCACAGATAATAAATTCACAAGTTCACAAATACTCCACCTTCCACGGAAGTCGCTAACAAAGCTCACTAGAAAGGAGGACACCATGCCTCCGATGGCGAAGATGGCCACAGACAAGGACCAGTACATGACCACAGAAGCATCAGTCGGTTCTTCATGTTCTGTGGCGTTTCCTCCTCTTCTGTGAGCTAGTTCTTCATTATAGACCCCCAGAGATTTTGCATAGTGCCTCTCAATGACCTACAACACAAATGGCATAATGCCATGACAAATTCCTTCCCAATAATGATAATGAACAATAATCCTTTCTCTTGAAGATATAATCTCAAAGAGATAACTCCATATCACGCTGGCTCTGAATGCAGCTAGGAGAGTGAAGGCTGTAATGATGGTGTGATGACTGACCTTCTGTGGGGCGTTGATGACGCCCAGGCTGTATCCCATCTGCAGAGAGCCAAGCGCAGCTGTGAACACTGCCAGAGCGAGTGTGCCTGTTAACTGCTGTGAGACAGGAAAACACGACGGCTCTTAAAAAGGTCTTCATTTTGACCTTCCACAAAAAAAAGGTCTTAAATCTGTGCATAAAGTCGTAAAATTATGTCATTAAATGTTTCAAGCTCTCTTTTGGTTTCCAATATAAGTATCTAAAACATCCTTAAATCAAGATGCATTTAAATGCAAACTGAATGTATGAAGTCTTGTTTTTGTTTTTGAAATTGAACAAAATTAAGCGAGTTATGCTTAAGAACAAACATCTGTCAATGCAATATAAAAACCGGTTTTCCATTTGAATTGTTGATTTTTCTAAACCCCTTCGGCAGATATTTGTTCTCGTTTTAAGCATACATTCACTTAATTTTGCACTTAAAATGCATCTTGATTTAAGAATATTTGGTAACACTTTAGTATAGGGACCAATTCTCACTATTAACTAGTTGCTTATTGGCTTGCCTATTATTGCATATTGGCTGTTTGTTAGTACTTATAATAGAAATACTCTGCATCCCTACTCCTTACCCAATACCCAAACTTAACTACCTTACCATTAATAAACAGCAAATTAGGAGTTTGAGGCAGAAGTCATAGTTGATGGTTTGTTAATAGCAAGAAATTGACTTAAAATAAAGTGTGGCCAAATATTTACACATTTTGAATGAAAGAAAAAAAACCTGATACGTCGGAAATGTTTAAACTTTAGTAAGCAGATATTTTCATTTAGAGAACATATTGCCATTTTCTTCCATTTAGTTTATTCCTTCCATTTTCTTGACTTGGTACTAAAAACCAATTAAAAAGTCTTAAATTTACCTTAATAAAATCTGTAAAAAATTGTCAACATAAAAGTTAATTTACAGTATCAGTAGCATTTCCTCGATCAATTCAGAATGTGCCAATAGAAATTAAACAATACAAACAAAATCTGCAAAACTTACAACACTCAGTTACAGGTTTTCCTTTTAATTATATAATTTATAGTTAAGGTCAGAACTTTTTTATAAAAAGGTCTCGCACTGAAAAAACGTTTGTGAACTCAAAAAATAAAGTATACATTTGAATTCAAATATGCTCTTTAAATGAAACAATATTTGTGTTGAATAATAAAACATGTATTCTCGGTTTGAACAAACATTTGATTCAAGAACAGTGAACATGATTAGATATAGCTGGATTAACTCCCTTTAATTGAAATTATGTAACCACAAAATGAATGTTATAAAATATCTGAAATGGACTTAAATGTATTTTGTCCAGTACATGAGTAATAATACCTCAGTAAACAGAACTAAAGCCCTTGATGGTCGGAAAATCTCCAGTAATACTAATTTAGGAGTGTGCATAACGCATATTACGTTACTAGAATGATCTACTATAGTAACAACAATAACAATGCACAATTACAAACACATATGCATAGTTTACTAAGTACTTGCGTAAATATGCAGTTATGTAAACAAACAGAATGGACAGTTCCTTTTAGAGACCTTTAACTGTTGCATTTCTTAATACTATTAAAAAAGTTTTTCATACACACAATAAAAGTATCTGCATTCTGGCCATTTTGTTTAATCATGTGTCAATTAAATGGATGTTTATTTTTTCAAATCACTGTAACACTAATAGTAAACTCATAATCACAGCATGACTAACACCTGCATTCACTATTCTGCCCGTCATATAATCTCTGCTCAAAAAAAACTAAAACCATTTAGATTCAACATGCAAAGCTAAGAGACAGTCGTATCAATAAGACTATTTCACACCATTCAGCATTATCAACCGGTTACATATCATTTAGATGCAAATCAAATGGCATTTTCATTATCCATATGAAATCATAAAGAAGGATTAAATGAATTTACCTTCTCCATTTTGCATGAAGTGTCAGCAAAAGCCGCTCTAGGTCATTAATAGTGGCGCCAAGGTTCTCGGCTGCTTTCCCAATACTCCGTAAATGATCAATCCTGTCACTGCAGGATCATGATGCACACGTGTGCTGTGCTAGAGACCTTCTGCCCTGATCCACTAATGATGTCCATGTATCACCGCTGTTTATGTGCTGCTTCTTCCCACTGAATACCAGACTATTGTTTCACTTTTTCATGTGGTCAAAATGATTGACATGACTTTTTATATCATTTTAAGGTACACTCTAAAAAATGCTGGGTTGTTTCAACCCAACTTTGGGTCAAATATGGACTAACCCAACCGTTGGGTTAAATGTTTACGTTAAATTTTTAACCCAAAAGTTGGGTTGAAACAACCCAGCATTTTTTAGAGTGTATAACAATAATACACGTTTATGATGCCAAATAAATGTCAGGTGTCAGTATTGCTTTTTTTGATTGCCATAAAGCGGCTGGATAAGACATTACGTGCTTGAGCAACAAGAGTTAATATATTACACCTATTAGAGCAAAGTTCTCAGCGCTCAGAGACACTGGTGCTTTCATGAGCTCTGGAAAAGATTCACTAGAGTGAGGGACACTAACACAAGCCAGAAAAGGTACTTATTTGTTTATTTTTTCTTATCATAAAAAAAGAAAGAAAAGGAGGACATACTAGTGCTTCTATCACCATAAAAGAAACGAAAATCTTGTTTACAGCTTCGACGATCATTAAAAACATATTAAGACCAAAACATTAAGTAACCATTCTTGAGTGTCAAATAAAGTAGTTAATTAAAAGAGCTCAGTGAGGTTCTTCCCCAGCACTGGCCGAACACAGTGTTTCACACAGCATACATACATAAATCAGCAGGACATTATTGCTAAAAACCTCTCATTCCCTCACCATTAAAATATCTTCTTTTGCTATGTAAGAGATGTGAAAGAAATATAAATATCTATATAGTGTGCAAACATCAAGTGACTTTGAGAACATCTAAAGCATTGAACTGAAGACCCAGGCAAACATAGAAAATAAAACCGAAGTAATAAACTGAAAAAAAAAAAAGATCTAATGAACAATACATTATGGTTAATATCTGTTGACCTACTGTAGTAGCTCTGTAACAAAAAGTTTCAACATTTGTGATATTTTTGTCAAAGAGACCACAATTGTCAGATGAAGACCCTTTTCCCTTTTCGGAATGTTTTGAGTGCCACTTGACTGATTAAAGATTGTGACAAAATAAAAGTAAGAAGCTTCAGCTTAATATAACAATGCTGAATCCTTCGAAATGTTGAGAAGCAAGACTTCCAGCCTACAAATGACGGCTGAAACAACAGTTATGGAGTAAGAACACAAGATGCAAAAATAGAAAATCCAAGTGCCTCTAAAGATTGATTTCACACAGGTTAATATGTGCTAGGCACTATAATGTAATCTAAATAAAGTCATCATTAATTCTCAATTGTCACTGAAATACAGGTGCTTTTATCTTTTATCCTTTTTCTTTCTATTTTTTATTTTTTGTTGATCTCAGATATCATGTTGCTCTGACATACACATCACACAACATCTGATCCAGTGTCCACACAAGCATGCAACCAGTGAGGAGGACCGTTTTCTTCCATCTAGTCTCGTATGACTAGATTTCACTCAGTTAACTTTCGTGCTTTTGTTCCTTCATGTTCCAAACATTCCAAAAAAAGGACCAGAGAAGGAATTCAAAGCATGGTATGCAACTTAAAGATGCATTCATGATCCGTTCGGCTCCGTATTTCCAACCTCAAAGCTATAAAACAGTACTTTGGATAAATGTACAGTATATGGATCTTGTTGACAATATACAAATGAGCACCAGTGTTATTAGTTTCTTTTGAGCATTTCGTTCTCTTTTGAGAAATCGGACAAAAACGGGTATCACAGATATTTGTGAAACTGGCAGAAGTGTTCGCCAATATTTGAAAGTGAAACATCAAGAGACTAAAGCTTGGTCTTAGCCTGAGTGCTTGCTAATGTTATCCCCACATTTGTTCTCTTTTAAATATTGTCCAATTCTTTACAATCATGCAACTGACTAAAATTCATTGGAAAAGTCAATAAAAACCAAAGGGGAAACCAGGGACGGGAACGTAAAGGTGAGGACCCTAAAAGAACAGGCTTTACCAGAGGCCACAAATAAGGTCTAAAACCAAGTTCAAGTTAGTCAGCCCCCTCTTCTGGGAACTGCGTGCCACTGCAGGTGACGTCAGATACTGCGCCTCCATTAGCCGCGTGCAGAGAACAAGCGCTCGCTTCCTACGGGACAGACCCATGTCTCCAAGCTCACTCCTCAAGAGTCTCTAATATTTTAAAATCTTTTTCAGACCAAAGTGTCAATGTACCGTGCGCTCACAGATGCAATTCTGACAGGAAAAAGGCTCCACGGTGTTGGGTCCGCAGGAGCTTCACCAGTTCATCAAAGAGTTCCTGTTCAGTGTCATGAAGAACACTTGACTGCTACCGCCTGATCGGACCGAGGCAAAGAACACCTGCAGGGGGATTTAAAAAAAATAAATAAAAAAATAAAAAATAAAAAAAAAGAGAAGAGAAAAATGTAAACTTGTCCAAAATGGTCTAAGCTAATTTAGATGAACAATGACATTCGTGGGGATGATCTACAACATAAGTCTAACCTTGTCATTCCTCTCACAGAGGAATTTAAGTCTCTGAGCTCGCTTGTGCATGAAAACACCGTCCAGGTGGCCCGTTTCAACAGAGCGGATCTCAATGGCTTTCTCTCCCCAGCCCATGATCTGGTTGGAGTGGATATAAGCTGCAAAACAGAACATCTTATTGAGTTCTCATTCATAGACCATCTTTATACCAAAAACAAAGCACAGTATCATAGTTCTCTCAAAAAATGTGAACAACTTTCATTTCACTTTTGAAAATGACACTCCACTTGTAAAAATCCCTGTTGGCCAGTGTAATATCCGTGATATTTCGCTAATTTCTTGTGGACAAAAAAAAAATTAAGAAATAGATTAATAATAAATTAAAAATTAAAAAGACACAAGTAGTTATTTATGCAGAATGTCAAAGTCACTTTTTTCCCCATATAATGACTGGTATATTTACTGAAATAATGACTTCTTAAAGGGATAGTTCACCCAAAAATGAAAATTCTGTCACTAATTACTCACCCTCGTGTCGTTCCAAACCCGTAAGACCTTTAAAATGTGTAAGACCTTTAAGATATCTTCAAATTAAGATATTTTTTGATGAATTCCGAGAGCTTTCTGACCCGGCATAGACAGCAACGCAACACGTTCAAGGCCCAGAAAGGTAACAAGGACACAAAGTGCGCACAAAAAGTATTCTTGTAGCTTCATAAAATTAAAGTGCCCCTATTATGGATTTTTGAAAATTACCTTTCATGCAGTGTGTAACACAGCTCTAAGTATTTCATGTTGACATGAAACATTAGCATGAAACATTAGCATATTGCCCGCCCACTTGTGGTTCTTTTCGCATTGGTCTGAATGAAAATGCAAATTCATTCTTTGCCACTAGGTGCTGCTTTTGGAAGGGTAAAAATAGCGGTTTCCCCAGTAACGCTGTACACAAAGCAACACTATGCTCACAAACGCTGCTTTATCAGGCATTACAGGCATGATGAAATGGAAATGAGACCAATCGGACCAATCACGCAGGTTAGCATCACGCAAAGGAGGGGTTTGGAAAAATTAATCATTGAGCGAATCATTTGGGAGTCGTTGAGCAAGTAAGGTAAAAACAAATGCATGTTATAAGACAATGAAAGTGTTTTTTGAACTTGCATGCATGTCAACCTGTTGTTGGGGACTCCCAAAACCAAAATATGAACCTTTCATTACCCATAATAGGCATTACAGGCATGATGAAATGGAAATGAGACCAATCGGACCAATCACGCAGGTTAGCATCACGCAAAGGAGGGGTTTGGAAAAATTAATCATTGAGCGAATCATTTGGGAGTCGTTGAGCAAGTAAGGTAAAAACAAATGCATGTTATAAGACAATGAAAGTGTTTTTTGAACTTGCATGCATGTCAACCTGTTGGGAGACTCCCAAAACCAAAATATGAACCTTTCTTTTCCCATAATAGGGACACTTTAAGGTTGAACCACTGATGTCACATGGACTATTTTAAAGATGTCCTTACTACCTTTCTGGGCCTTGAATGTGGTAGTTGCATTGCTGTCTATGCAGGGTCAGAAAGCTCTCAGATTTCATCAAAAATATCTTAATTTATGTTCCGTAGATGAACAAAGGTCTTATGGGTTTGGAATGACATGAGGGTGAGTAATTAATGACAGAATTTAAATTTTTGGGTGTACTATCCCCATTAAACCTCAGTCTGTTCCTCATCAGAAGAATTGGGATGCAGCAAACAAGCCTTATTAAATGACTTATAGGATGTTTTTAATGCTTTTTTTGGTCTTGATAGTTCCTGGTCCCCATCTACCTTCATTTTATTAAACAGAACAGCTTAGACATTCTGTTAAATATTATCGCTCAGCTCTATATAGAAAGTCAGATACATAAGCATATCCAACTTTATTCGCATACATTCAGTACACTCACATTTTTACTATATAGCAAATCTCAACTTCTTGATTTACATTCTAACAAAATGTAAACTATTATTAGCTCTAATTTGCTAAATGTGACTATAAGGGATGACAACATTAAACTATTATAAACATTAACATCATAATTTTCTGTAAAGCTACTTGGAAACAAATGTATATTGTAAAAAAATAAACACTAATGAAAATAATAATAAAATTGACTTGACTAAACATTTCCTTTGGTGTGAAAAGGAAGCAAGCAAGTTTGGCACAACATGAGGGGTGGGTACATGACATAACTATCCATGAGTCAAATCTAGTATGGCGTATTTATTTGCTTACACAACTTGATTGCGTCTTGTTTTGAATGGGTAGATGCATCTTTTTGTATGATCTCTGAATGCCTTCCTTTTGACGTCTTTTCATAAGCCAGCCTGAAGATTTAGCAAGCATTGCATAAAAATCGCCCCAAAAAATGAATAATTCTGTACGCAATCACTACTTATAATCATAACAGCCTGCCAAACACAAGGAGCCCTGACCAAACACTCCCCCATTGAGATTATTATATATGATAAAGCATGCCAAAAGCCCTAAATCCTCCAGTCCAGCTAATGTGTTACTCAGACCAGCTCTCTCTCTCACACACACACACAACCACATTCATACTTCTCAAAACACAGAAGTTGAAGCCAAGTTTGAATGCTTTTGAACTCTGGGTGAACTAATTTTTTCTCCCCCCACAAAGCAGTGGCAGCCCTGTTGTTGTTTTCATGCACTTCTGCTGGCCTCACATCCCTCAAGCTCAACCCATGTGCTGGCAGCTAACACAAACAGACACTGCGGTAGAGGCCAAATGGAAATCAGTGCCACTGTGGAATCAGGCTAATATTAGTCAATACAGCAAAATATGCTGTTTTTGTAAGCATCCACTAAAGATAAATATTTGATAACTAGAATAGAAGTCATTATCTGGTCAGTATGTTTCCTCTTGCACAGCTGGGAAGGGTATTGAAACACAGACTCACCAACAGAGGTGGGCATCTCTCCCCACTGCAAGACCACGTCCTTGGTGATTCTGCCGTAGGTGTTGACATAAACGCCCTCATCTTCATAACACAGCAGCATCTCCATGCCATCAGTCTTGGGAAGCACCACGATGGCATGAGGAGTCACACTGCTCTGGATCTAACAGAAAGAAGAAGGGGTGCTTAAGGAGACCATTAGATGACCACATATTCCATTTACATTTATTCTTTCAAAGAATCATTGTTTACAAAAGGGAATCTATGGAATTATAGTATTTCTATTTTGGTAACACTTTAGCATAGGCACCAATTCTCACTGTTAACTAGTTGCTTATTAGCATCCCTATTATTAACATATTGGCTGTTTATTAGTGCTTATAAAGCACATATTCTGCATGACCATATTCTACGTCCCTAATCCTACCCAATACCTAAACTTAACAACTACCTTACTAACTATTAATAAGCAGCAAATTAGGAGTCTTTAGAGGAAAAAGTCGTAGTTAATGGTTTGTTAATATTGAGAATTGGACCTTAAAATAAAGTGTGACTTGTATTTCATACAAAAAGCTTATTAAATGCACTAATAATTGCATTTTGGCATCTATCTATCTATCTATCTATCTATCTATCTATGACTCCAAGTAGGATGCAGATTTGGAAAATGGTGGCACTTGAGACCGAAGGGTTTCTGATTTAATTCTTGGTTTAACACCTTCTTCACCTTAATTCTTAACATCTTTATCAGTTAATATCTTTTCTTCTTAATGTTTTATTTTCAATGAGCATTTCTTATCCAATTGTCACACCGTAATTTTGGAATTTCTATAGTATTGCATCCTTCTCATGGGCATTTAATATATTTTTGACTTTTCAGTGTGTTAAATCTTTTTTTTTTGCCCATTTTAACTTTGTCAAACTTTGTCAAACCTGCTTAATAATTATGCACATCTGAATATACTGTAAGGTGGCTTTGCACTTACAGCCCTTGTTAACAATTATATATGACTTATACAAACTTTACAGTAGTTATTAAGACTGATGTGGTATGGAGTATGCAAAATGTGCTTGGAAAAAAATACCAGAATATCGACTTGAGTGTGTGTGTGTGTATATATATATATATATATATATATATACACATATACATACACACACAGCCATTATCTGAACATAGTATGTGTAGTATAGGAACAGAAATTGAGCTTCTGTCTTCCTCAAAGCACCTGAAATCATCCTTACACTTTTCACACTTTCAAGTGCCGTGAAGGGAACATAACATATGGAGGCACATGTTTTTTCACTAAGATTAGACTACAACCCCCAAGAGCAACACTGCCAAGGGAACCCCTCAACCAATCAAGAGGATGTTGCTCATGAACGGCTCCCTTACCCAGAAGCACAACTAAATTGTGTTTTTACAGACACCAAACCACAGCCTAGTACCACAGATAAAAACCAAAGGTCTGCACTGCTGCATTCCGATTTAATTTGTGGTTATAGAGGATTTGTATTGCAAATTTATTAGCAACAAAAATGGATCCAGCATTTCTATGAGGTTTATTTAAAAATGCATCACTTACATGTGATGGTATGTAGATGTCATAAGGGTTTCCAGAATCCACATCTATGACGTGAAAGCCCACACTAGAGCCATAGATGACCTTTAACCTCTGACCCTCTTCTACAGTCAGGTCCACCAGCTGAGGCCTGTGCGGCAGCTCTGTGAACGACTGCCAGAAACAAAAAGATACAGATACAGAAATGGATGCTGAGTCTAGGGAACTGGTTAAACAGGCAGTTAATGCATGCAAACCTTTAAGGCATTTTCTTTCATTGACAAATTATATTATTACATGTTAGTTAAATAGCAAGAAAGAAATACAGAGAGCATTTGAAAGATGAGGAAATATTGTTACACCATCATACCTTGAAAGCCATGAATTTATGGTACGGCTTGGGGGCCCATGCATAAATCTCCACAGAGCTCTTCAGTGCGATCACCAGGAATTTGATTCTCTCGTATTTCACTGAAAACAAAGTAAATCATGCTTTCAGTTACCTGCAGCTCACAGCGGCAGTTTGTCATATTCATACAAGGAAGCAGACCGTCTCCCGTTGCCACGCTCCATGCTGTTAGAGGAGAGCTGAATGCCAATCCTCTCGATTAGCCTAAGAGATCTCGATTAGCCTACTCAACCGCCTCCATCTTAACAGCCTCTGTCTAACAGGAAAGCCTTCATCTTTCAACCCCAATATCTTGGACTTTGCTTTATTCTGCACGCTCAGAAAAAGCAGCTAATATACTGTATATGCTGCTAATATTTATATTTATGTAATCTTGCTAATAAAATAGAAAATAAATTATACAAAGAAATGTATTCCATAAGGCTGCTAATATTTATTATATACTTTATGTTGTGAATAAAATATAAATAATACAATAAAGTAAAATTTTATGTTATTTTAATTTTGTTGATGATAATATGAAGTCACTGATATTTAGGAAAAAACAATACTGATAACTAAGAGAGAAAACTCATTGACTCAAACTCTATTAACCTCTATTCTTTATTACTGGATTTAACATTTTGAATACTTACTTTATGCCACAGCGTTAATGTAATTTATACTTAAATACAAGAGTTGTATTTGGATATTAGTTGCCACCGTACAAGATGTTAGTATCCAAATTGATATTGAGTACTGTGAAATTTCACTGGCATTGATATCAATACTTTTGTGACAACTCTAGCAGAGACGGATGACTTACCAACTTTATAGTGAATACAGCCTTCCAGATCCCCAACAGTGATCCAGCCCTGTTTCTTCTCTACCTCCGGATCGTTGTGCAGTATCCTGTTTCTCAGCCATGACAAGTAGTAGACACGTAGCTTGTTTTTCTTCCCTGTAAACAAGGCTGACATGTTAATAAAAGACGACATGTATCCCCAAAAGACACAAAGAGCTGCCACCAGGCTTTGGTTCAACACTTTTTTTTTTTGTGTATTAGTGGACTTAAGTTTCTGCAAATGTCAACTTTGATGCCCTTGTGTAGCTCTTTTTGTAGTGGGACAAACCTGATATGGTGACCAGGACATTTAGACAAAACTACAAAAATAACAAATGAACCATATCAGCTCCAGTAAAATGATTTAATAGCAGGTATTCAGAGAAAAGCAGTCTGGAGTTGGGGCTAAAAATACAACAGAAGCACAGTTCCTGCTGTTTAGATAATAGATGGTTCAGAAAAATTTTTAGACTCTCACTTGTGAGTCAGTAAATAATGTCTGTGACAGAGTTATGAAAATATTAAGAGTCATTAGGATAGCAAAGTGCTTTCCTCACATTTTCAGACTCTTTAGTCTCATTTTAATTCTAGTTATAGTGAAGAGAGGAGAGCAAATTAAAGGGAGAGGAGGGTAGGACAAGATTGGGATATTTCAAATTGCTTTGCCTGGCTAAATATCAGATATGTATCCCTCTTAAAGGTTATCTACCTCATCCATAGAGTCCAGGTCCTGGGAATTGATGCCTGTTGGAGTTCCTGATGGGGAGTGGCTTTGCTGCACCAGGTCTGGTAGGTTTCCGTGGCCTGCGAAACCATTGCTCTCGCCGTGGCCCAAGCGTTGCCTCTCATTGGCCTATAGAGAACATCAAACGTAAGTCAAAAATGTGTGAAACATTTGAGAAGTCAGAGATAATAAGTCTTTTTTGGAGCTAAATAATGTGATGGTTTGCTGAGTACTTTGGAGGTCTCATGCAAAGGTAATCTGTAATCAGTTTGCATTCGACCTGTAATCCCAGTTTTAGGCCCAACATAAAAATGCCCCCTCCTGAACTTTAGTTGCTATAGAAACAGTAAGGGTCCCAAACAAACAGCTAGGGTTATTTGCGCTGGGGCGAGAGAATCCGAGCCAAGTAGGGAGAATAACACACACCCACACATAGAGTCCATTGACAAAGCCACTGGCAATCCAGCTTGGTGAGAAAGTTGAGAGGGTGAAAGAGGACAATCTTTTCTCAAGTCAGCGTTGCTATTGAGATTAGCAGGCAAGAATTCCCACAGTCCTCTGCCAAGCAACCTTTAGAGATTGAGAGGGACTGAGAGAAAGATGGATGGGAATGTAACCAACCCTTACTCTGGCTTTCGAGCCCTGATTGAGGTCCAGGTGACAAGACAGATAAAGAACAGCGAGAGAGAGAAAACACAGGACAGACATGCAGAAAGAGCTTTGGAACTGGTTAATACGGATTGTAGGTCAGCTAATTATGTAGACAGCTCTAGCCCTTTGTTCAAACATTCATCACGCCGCAAGAGAAGTTTCCTCAAATAAGGACTTGGGTTGTCCAAGCCAAAATAGCTCAGAGAAATAAACCTGCCATAAAAAACAAATGTAGTAAAATAAACAAAAAAAAGATAAGGTTTGGTTTTGTAGGAATGTAGGAAAGCATGGCGCTGGCAATGTCAATGTCATGGGCGTGATTCCCTGGCAATGTATAAGCTAATAAATTGCATATCTTTTATGCATTTGGCAGGTGCTTTTATAGAAATTGACTTCCATTGCATTTATGCAGATGTATTTGACAAAGTAGTTGTAGGTGTAATTTTAGTTGATCTAAAATTACGCTAATATAATTCATATTAATAAAATTGATAGTTATTCCAAATAAAGTCTAATTTTAAATATCAGTTTTGGCCAAGTGAGCTCAGTTTCAGCCAAGAATTTTCATTTCAGTGTATCACTTATCTAAAAGCTCTGAGTGTTCACGAGTGGAAAACTGGCAGAGAGGACAGTCTGAACAATGCAACCAGTGGGACATTTGGCCTCCAACTGTAAAACAGCATCTGCATCTGAAGGTTGTTTAGTCTAGAACTGTGTCTGGAGGTCAAATCTACATCCAAAGAGAACTAAAAGCACCTTCAAGCATATGCTAGATAAAAATGAAGTGACAAAGTAGGTTCAAATAGTAGTGTACTGTACATAGAGACAAAAAATGAAGAATGGCTAGATCATATTTAAGGGCTATTGGGATGCATCTTACCGCAGGTCGACCAGGTTTGTTCAACTCTCTGCTTTCCTCCTGAATGGGTTTGGAAGTCTCCTGTAATGCCACTGGAGATCCTTCTGATTTACCAGAGCCTGGAAAACAACATAACAGGTTGTAACCACATGTTTGAGATTAAAGGACATCAAATGTAAAAGTTTCAGAAAAACCCATACCGATCGACCCTTATTCTGATTATTGGTGAGGAGATGTAAAAGACAACTTGTTCTCAAACAGAATGAAAACTCAGAGATTGCTGGCATTATTGTAAACAAAAATATACAAAAGGTGGACTCTACCTATCTTTACAGGACCTAGAAATACACCTTCTAGATTGGACTAAAAATTCAAACAGGCAAACAATGTATCCACCATGTCATACTATACATCCACTTCACTCTCTGGAGGACGAGCGCAGTACTGCACATCTGACACGGTGAACAGAGTGGAACTGCCCAGCAAAAACAACCAGAATTAAGTCTGAACGAGTGCCAGCTCCTTCAGTCCCTTGAAGACCATCAGACTGAGGCATTCTGGGAGGGCCACGTCTGCACCAGTCACTCACAACACAACATGAACACCCACACTGGCTTGTAACAAAAGGTTTGCTCATGGGGACCCGTTTAAATCAGGCCTGGATCAAGTCCTGATCCTTTCTATCCCCCAATTACCTGTCTGCCTCTACTGTCCTGTAAATAAAAGCTAGAAAACGCCTTTCTTTTGGATGGTGTTGTGCGGTGGTTAAACCTCAAGGCTCCTTTCCAGAAAGTTTCAGGTTTGATACTTCAAACCATGAATTAATCACCATGTAACTTACTCCAAAGGGATTGTCCCAGTAAAAACATTATGGCATCAAAGTTGTGTGAGATGTTCATTTAAAAGATTTCTAGAATTCTTTTATCTAGAATTGTATTCTAGGATTGTTTTGTCCTCATTACAGAAACTCAAGATAACTCAGGACACCGCATTCTCACCTTTCGGCTGGTTCCTCTCACTGGATCCAGGCTGCGAGCCGCCCTGAGAGCTGGGTGTGCTGGAGCTGGATGAGCCGTTACTGCTGGTTCTCTGCAGAGCCACATCCAGGGACAACTCTGCCCTCCTCAGGTCTGGATTACTGGAGAGTTCAAGACACATTCAGTGCTTCAATATACCAACATAGAGCAACGCCCCCAGCATGTGATCTGACTGAGAGCTGAGTTGAGCTGACCTGGAGCGGATGAGCTGGGAGGTCGCTCGCCCCCCTCCGTTCCCAGGAGAGTTCTTCCTCACAAGAGCAGGGGAGATGGATGTGGTCTGCTGAGGCACCTGGGTAGTACTGCACAACTTTAATCAAACACACAAATGACCAAACATCAGAGATGAGGGATCATAGCGTAATCACAACCATCAGTTCTCTTGAATAACAAAGACAGCCTGCATATTTTATTAATAGTCTTTTAATCATTTATTTACTACAAAGTCTTGCAATTTAAACATTCAAACTACGATTCAGAATTTTGAGGTCAGTAAACATTTTTAAAAAAAGTTATACTTTTGTTCAGAAAGGACACTTCTTCAGAGCAATAAATTAAATTTTTTAAATAATAGAAAACAAGATATTTGAAATAGCAATAATATTTACAACATTACTGTTATGACTAATGTAAATCACCTGTAAATCATACCGACCCCAAACTTTTGAAATGTAAAGTATTTGTCAAAAACATTATCAAAAGATATCTCTTCAGGTGTGAAGCCTTGAAAATAGGAAAAAGTAAAGCTCATCATTAAAGTTCATTACTGTATAATTCTGACCTTGGGAGGAATGTCGTCTTCCATTAGCCAGGGGGAACTGCGTTCAGGCTTTTCCTCACGGCTGGCCATGCGAGGGGCCGGAGGGGGCATCTCTGAAGTCGGGTCGGAGTTCTGTCGTGGCATCTCTGGCCGATGGGACACCAGGCTCTCCTGGAAGGCTGAAACGCCCTTGGCAGATTGATCATGCAAAGACTGAGAGACTGACAGAGAGGAGCTATGGGATCTCACTGGAACCAAATGAGCCATCTAAGAAGAGGAAGAAACCATTAAGTGCTTAGATCAGAATTCTGACACTTTCGCCAATGAATTTTCATGACCTTTCCAGTCATTGGTGAATACAGGATTAAAGATGTTTTAGAAATGATTTTCAAAGGAATTATGATTTGCTGGATGGATTTCCATGTGTTCCATGTGTACTTTTGAATTAGAACATTTATTTATACTTATTAGATGTCTCCAATAACACCCCTAAAGGACAGAATGATGTTTCACACTGGCTTATGAGTGTTTTATAATAATTTAATTAGGGATGCACAATATTAAATTCTGTATAATAAGCCGACAATTATTTTCATATTATGGTCAACAAATGTCCAATATAAAATTCAATCATTTTAAATGCTGCAAGTGAATTTATGCATCACAACATTATGAAAAAAATTATCCTTTTTAGAGATTTACTAAAGATAACAGAAAAACTTTGCTAAAAAATAAATGCATAAATAACTGATACAGTACTGATATACTGAGCATTAAGAATTAATGCTTTGAACAAAAAGCTAAATGTTATACCTGAGGCTCCACAGGGCGGTGCATAGGAGGGGTCCGTGCCGGCTGAATTCCACCACTGCTAAAGGACTCAGAGCGTGGAGGAAGGGAAGGGTCGGAGATACGGTTAGCCACTTTATGCTGCAGGGCAGGAGAACTCTGGCGGTTCAGTTTAGAGCGCTCCTCAACCTTCATGAATAATAAAAAGACACATAAGAACAGGCCAAACGGTTTAACTCAGCCACCACCAACCAAACAAGAGAAAACTAGCAAGGCCTATGTTTGGGAAATGCACCAGCAAACACTAAAGTTAATCAGTTGAAACTATCACACCATCTGAAAGAGAAAAGCAATCTATTCAGCTAGAAGCTGAATTAGCCGTTGCATGTTGATTGGGTCATTCATACAACAATCGGTTAGAGCAGACCAGCACCTTCTACAAGCACAGAGACTGAAAACCTTTGAGAGGTGAAAGGATAGAAAGTATTTAAATGGGTAAAAAAAAATCTGCTTTGGCAATAGAAAAAGCCAACATATGAGACACTGCTTGGAAACTAGATTTAAGGATTTCAGTTCCAGTCTAATTTCTAAGAAAGTCATCAAAGTAATCAGTGCAGTTTATATAAACCCATATCTATATTTATGAGATAACTAGTAGTCTTTCAGTGTCTCACAACGTGAGGGCTTCTTTGCAACAACAGATCTTTTCAAAGAACTAGACAGACACTGGTTAACCATCTCAGTGTCTCAGAAATGCAGATTCCTACTGGTGAAGCAGCTTGTCAAATTCGAAAAGAAATGGGTGGTTAGTGTGGAGATGGATGGCATCTTGCTCAGAGATATCATGTGTCTAGATTCATAATTCAGGTTATTTAATGGGCATTCTAAATGGCAACTAGATGACCCATTATTGGTGTCTAAAAGAACTGGTTATATTGGTTGAAAAGCTAGTTTTTTCCCTATCCAAGCGCAGTACAACAAAATGAATTTGTCTTTCATGTTTTCAATGAACATGAAACTGCTACGGGACATCATACAATCACAGCCAATAAGAGGAAATTTGTTTTTTTTAATATACAGTGCTGCAGGAATGAGTCCTGGAATTAAAGCCTGGAAATGAGATGTTCCAGAAGTCAATGGTTTTTTGGTTAAAAGCCTGAAACAACGTCTGTGGTCAACACAAGGTCAAAATATTTTCACTTTTTATTCCATTCATAAAAGTTGTTCATTTGTGAAGATTATCTTGATGCATGCAACATGCAAGAATTAGCCACAGACCTTGTTTTCCATTCAATTATTTTTCTTATTAAATCCTGTTCTGTTGTTCAGGTTGGCCAACAAAAATTACGTCTTTCATGCAGCACTTTGTTATGTGGACTAATGAGATTTTGCTGACTAGGCAATCTACTGTGGCTTTGCGCTTGTTGTGGCTGGTTAGGACATGGTGTAGAGAAACAAAATTCATGGAACGGATTCAGCTTTCCAGGAGTACTTCCAGAATACATACAAAATTCAATGGATGTTGTTTTATATTAAACATTTAGTTTTCAAAACTACATAACAAAAGTGGTTTGATTTAAACGATTTGAGGAGTTTACCACATGCCACCTTGCGAGAGAAAAAGAGGGGCTCCAACACCAATGGGCAATGCACCCAGAATCACCCAGCAATGGGCTGCACTGATTATGAAGGCTTACACAAACACAGAGGGCATCCAGTCGGGGTGGTGGGCCATCAGAATCAGGAGGATCAGGGGCAAACTAACGACAAAGGGGCTTTCATGATGTCACTGATGAGTAAGAGCCAGTAAGATGGGAACACGAGGAATGGGGACACGTGAAGTACTGATGGACTACGTAATGGTCAGTTGCATAATGAACATATACAGATTTTGGAATAGCATTCAGTAACTAAAAAAATTTGCCATTACGTGACATTTTATTTTGAGGATTAAGAGAGAAAATCAGTAACATACTGTAATATAAGAAGAGCTATTTACATCTATTCACACCTATTTACAATGATCGCAGAGCACCTCAATTGATGAGAGGCCTGATCGTCATCATGTTGGTGGGGGAGAACGGGGAGCCTACGGGGGATGAATTGGGGCTGACCAAGGAGCTGTGACGGCTACCTGGGGATGGCGACCTTGAGGAGGCTGGGCTTGCTCTGGGTGTGCTCCGAGGAGAGAGCCCCATCCAGCGCAATACAGAGCGGAGCGGTGAGGCCATATTGGAATTTTTAGAGGATTTACGGTGAACAATATGAAAACCCTCGCGTCCACAAGATTTGGAACGCCAGATGGGCTGGTTAAAACTCTGCCTGAGCAACTCCGAAGCGGATGAAGACAGGTCCAGAGCAGAGGAACAGCGATTCACACGAAATGAATAATCTGAATTGTACATTGCGAGAGGCACGTCCCACTCCCTTTTCGGCACCATCAGGAGGTTCTTGGACGACACTGAGTTTGAACGCTGATCTTTGGCCATCATCTTTCGGAGCGAGTGCTCTGGGGCTGACTGAGACAACAAGCTGTCCTCATCGAGGAACAAACACTCCTGGTTAATGGCGATTTGTGGGAGCAACTCATCTACATCTAGTCTATGGCACAGTGAAAGCTTCACATCTAAGGCTGAGGCCAGGTTCTCTGAACTAACCGCTTTAGTGATCACTGGGTTGGGCTTGCGTCCGCGGGCCTCCTGCCCGGACTTTTGGAAGGCCCTAAGCTGTTGCACCTGCTGGCTAATGTTTTCTCGACTCTCTTGCTGTCCTGAGACATGGAAGCTGGGCTGCTGCTGCTGCTTCCTGTGATGTAAATGCTTCATGACCTGTTCTCTAATAGGGGGAAGCATTCTAGTGGGGTCTGAGGGGCTCCGGTGGGGGACGTGGCGCTGACGGGATGGGGATGAGGAAGGCTTGTGGTTGATGGTTTGGATCTGTTTCAAGGGCCGGCCATGGACCTGAAACAGTGAGTCAAGAATTGTTTTGTTAAACAGAGTTAAGCTGGTTAAAAAACATCTGGGCCAAGTGCATACTACAAGACTGAAACTCGTATCGCTTTTTACACTGAGGTCTCAGAAAGTCTCACCAACTTCCAATATGTCGCCAAAGATATTCCAGTTCCATGTTTGTGGACAAGAATTGAGTGTAGTGTTAAAAGTGCATTCAGAAGTTCTTTAGCTAGAGTTAGTGTTGCTATTCTTTGTGTACTTTAACAACCAATACCACAATACTGTCAGACACTGCACTGCCATCTATCAACATGGATCAGCATGATCGTCTGTGAGTTTTATGTAAATTATACTGAATTTATTGTGTAAACTACTCCATACATCTTACTAGTATCCCTTGCCTGTCCAATACAAAAACCACTACTCAGGATTTTCTCTGTCATCAAATCTTTCCATGTTGTGAATGTCTTGCCAATATTTATGCTAGTTTTTTCATCCATGTCAGTCTGTCTGTCTTCAGACCTTCACTTCTTTGGCCATATAGTTACTGATTCTTCCATTTTCTCCACTGGTAAAGCATGATGTGTGTGTTACATTGTCTAAGTTTTGTTCTTCACATCACCAAACAATGCCAACGCGTATGAGGATTCGGTACAACATTTAGTAAAACACAGCGAATCATGAGTGGGGTGAACTGCACCATACATTATTAAACTCTTTTGAAAGACAACTATTATGAGTACAGCACTCAACTCATCAGTCTTCACAAAAACACTATTTATTTCTTAAAGCAGCACTATGTAACTTTTGGCACTCTAGCGGTTAATAAACAGAACTGCACTCATCCAGCGGAAGAACATTCCAACCGGAGCTACTTCTCTAAGTTTGTCTATGGCGATTCACGCAGGTATGTGTTACTCCGCAGCGGTGACGACCCGACCAGGCTACAATAGTCCAAATATAAGTACTTATTATAAGTGTACCGTAGTGATTCGGAATAAGACAAAAACACGGTTTGGAAGATGAATTCATGATGTACTCGCTCATTATATACATTTTGCAAATTCTGAACACAGAAAAATTTACATAGTGCGGCTTTAAATGTGAAATATATATATATATATATTAATTAGCACAAAACTATTGAATGCACCTTTAATATGTGTGCTTTTGTGTGAAAACACATTTTGAGATCTGTGATTAGTAATTTGTAGTGTGCGCTTGGCCTAGTGAAGCAAAGACAAAACCAGAACACTGTAGCAAATGTAGTTCAAAAGAAAGAGTCCAGATTGCTTCACAAAGACATTAAATACGGTTTCCTTCAGTTATATATAGTGTTCTAAATGGACTGTGGTGGTCATTTTGCTGACATGCTAGGATAAAACAAGAGAGTTAATCTGTCCAGTTTCATTTTGCTGACTCAGCATCAAGTATTGTTGGACTTTCAGTAAAAGTTTCCAGGCTGGTGACCCTGAAAAATGTGCTGGAAAACATTTCTGCAGTGTAACACTGTGTCCTAACCAGATGCAATGTGTTTCCAGTGACAAGCAATTTGTCTGTATGCACAGAATGTGTAACAGTGTAGTACGTGAAGCCAATCAGAAAATTTTTGGTGCTAAACGTAGTTATTAGCATTAGGATTTCGGACAAATCAGATTTCACTGTGGGGCTAGAGAGTGTGCCCTGGTACTTGTTGCTTATCATGGTCACAACTGGTCAGGACAAAAAAACAAACAGGTTTGCTTTTCACATCATCGCATCATCCCTGGAGTAAGGCAACACTGAGATGCTGGAAAAAAGGACAAATTCAGTCTAATTTCAGTTTTGCCCACCTCTTTGGCCCAGGCAGGTTTATCGCTTGGGTTGACTGCATCTTTGTAATGATAGAGTTGCTTCTTCTCTGCAGGTCTGGAGTCTTGTTGCGGTTGCTGCTGCTGCTGTTGTTGGAGAGAGACAAGGTAAGCTCTCTCTTGCTGGAGCTGTCTCTGCAATCTCTCTGACTGTCTCTGTTCCTCCAGCTGTTTACGTTTATACTCCTTAAGACACAGAGAGATTTTGATAGTTAAAAAAAAAAAAAAAACACTTTTGCAAAACATCAACAAGGGCCATGCAATTGCAAGGACTTAAACACAGTACCACAAAAGCACAATGACCATACACTGGCACACATGCACAATCAAAACATGCATGTGCTGGACCAATTATACTTAGCTCAAGACAAATGGGAGGATACAAATCCATGCCAGGCATAGTTCTGCCTCAATGGCAGAAATCTGGGATGGTGCTACAGATGGAAAAAATACGCAAGTACCACTCTTCTGTAAAAAAGTACATTTGAAGCTCAAGAATGGAGCTACCGGGAACATAAAATCCTCAAGCGCAGTTTTTCACTCTTTTATCATTCTCTTTTCTCCTTTGTCTCCCTAGTGGCTTCAGTGGAAAGCACATTTTATTGCATCGTTCTGGCCTGCTCTAAACTTCAAAACTCCAAAAGAGCAAAGAAAGAAAGGAAAGACCTGCTAAGGTCCACATCTCTCCCAGTTTCACATACAATGCATCAAAGCAAGCGGGATTTCACAGGAACAAATGTTTTAATTTGTTAACGATAAAAAAAATTACTCTCTTATATGACAGTCTGTATCAGGGATCCTCAAATCTGGCCCACGATATCCACTTTCCTGCAGAGTTTAGCTCTAACCCTAATCAAACACACCTGAGCAAGCTAATCAATGTCTTCACGAACATTAGAAAAATCACAGGTAGGTGAGTTTGATCAGGGTTGGAGCTAAACTCTGCAGCGCATTGGCCCTACAGGGCAAGATTTGAGGAACCCTGGTCTATATGCTGGCACTGATATAATGTGTAGTGTAGATCAGTGTTTCCCAACCGGGGTGCCGTCTGTCGAGAGCAGGGGTGCAGTGTAAAAAAAATATTTTTAATTTTTTTAAATTGCTAAAATGTTTTTTAAAAAAAAGCATATATTATATAATATCCATTTTTGATGTCGCCAATAATTAGAGATGCACCGAAATTTCGGCTGACGAAAATTAGTTCAGGCTCTGGTGTGACGCTCTGCGTATTATCCCGCTCTATGTGTGCGCTCTGCTCAGTCGCTCCACTCGTATACCGTTCATGCTCATTGTAACAGCAAAGTCCACTCAAAAATTGAGCCGACAGAAAACATCGATGTAGTACAGTATTGTTTCTGTCTGCAATAGCCCTACTGTG